TCCTTCTTTCTTTCTTTCTTTCTTTCTTTCTTTCTTTCTTTCTTTCTTTCTTTCTTTCTTTCTTTCTTTCTTTCTTTCTTTCTTTTACTGTATGGAAAAGTCTAATAAAAAATATAAAAAGAAAACTCGGAAAAATTGTATAGAAAAGAATTTTCTTAAACCTGTATATTAGGAAGGAGTGTCCAAAAAGGCAGTGTATTTAGGAGAATGTGAAAACTGCATCTATCTGTGCAAAATGGCATTCAAGGAAGCGTATATTAGCCAAGGCGCGTGCATGCCTGTTTTTGTGTGAACTTTGGGGAAAAAACTCTTTAAGGTCTCGCACAAGCATTAATGAAAGCTCAACCTGACACAGCAATAGGACAAACTGAATTTGAGATGGGGAAAAAGAGAAATGGAGAGATGCTGAGGAGTTGAACAAATTGTTTTGTCAGCACAGATGTTGAAGGAAATGGATTTTCTCAAATTGGCAGTTGAAATGGTTTGATTGTGTCTTGGAAGGAACACACAGAGTCGTGTTTAGCTCTTCGCCAGATTGTTTTCTCCTCCGAATCTTGTGCAAAAAAAGTTTTCAGGCCTTGTTAAACTCATTCATTATCCTCCAGAGAGAGTTTATACTTTAACATAGGTAACAAGAGGGTCGTTGGAATGCAGAAATGGGGTAAAATTAGGAGAAGATCATCTGGACTAGAACAAAATGTGCTCCTGCCTTAGTTAGAAGGCTTCTACGATGATTTTACAATCCACACTGGTTCCCTTATTTCATTGTGTATGTAGAGTTCATTTCCTCCTAACATACAACAAAAATAGTGGGATTTTCTTGGGGCTGCAAGAAAGAGCCTGAGGAGGGGACGGCAACATATGGATCAAAACCTTCTGACTACAGCCACTAAACAAAAGGGCTCCTGTTCAGAATTTCAGTAACTCTGCCCTCCTCCCACCACACCGACTCTCTCTGTTCCCCACTTCTATTTTCCCATTTTCCAACTTGCCTCTTGCCAGGAATCTATACTAAGAACAGTCCGTGCTTTCTGGGAAGGGGGACATGATCTCTTCAAGTT